CGTTACAACAGCGACGTAAGCAACAGTTTGCAACAACAACAACCTCAACCTCAATACATTCAACCTCAACCTAAACCAAGTGCTGCACCATCGTACGCTGTACCTCAAAGAAAGAACTTCTACTTTATCAACAATGCCTCACCTGCTCCAGTTTCGGAAGAACCAAAAGAAGATTACTACCAGCCTAAGTCTCAGCCTCAACAGCAATATTACCAACCTCAACAGCAGTATTATCAACCTCAACAACAACAATATCAAGAGCCAGAGCCCCAATATTACCAACAGAGGGCATCACAACAGTATTACCAACCAAGACAACCAGTTGTTGTAGATATGAATCAGTTCCGTGGACATCCAGCATCAAATTTCGATTTGAATACTGGATCTTATAGCGTCAACTATTCTGGTTAAAGTTTTATTTTTTGCCTATTAGAATGAAGCGTTTTATTTTTAATGGTATTAATATTTACGAAGAAAGAAGCATGATTCGCCAAAAATCGCCGATAATACTCAAGACTCGATTGTTCGACGAGAAGATTAATTAACAGCTTGTTAGCTCTTTTTTATTTTTCTGATACAAGAAAAGTTGTTAAATGAGTGATTGTAAATTTAACATTCTGTGGAATTTCAAAGCACGATTGAACGGTCGGGTCTTCTTTAAAATAAGCGATAGAGTAACTTATAAAAACGAAAAAAGTCTAAGAAAGTGTTATTTTAAATTTTTTGGAGATTTAAACTACTTATTTATATTTTACAATAACAATAAAAATTCTTTATACCATTCCCGAGGAATTGAGAATACATCAGTTTTGAGGTTCAATTTAAGTAAGTATTTTATGCAAGAAGTATATTACTATATTTATTGTTCATAAGTTTATAATTAAGATATACTTTAAAAAGCATGATGTAAAATGAATTCGAAATTTTTCATGACTGCCATCGAATATATTCATTGTATGTGTAATTATTTTATATATTAATAAAATATTATACGATAATTGGCTTTGGTGTTAATAATATGAACTAGTGGGGCGCATGGCATCGTGCCTTAAGGCAAATTGCTGGAACTTCCCATACCAAAAATTATAATTTTTTTAAAACGATTAACATTTTTAAAAAAAAATTACTTCGAAAAAATTAGATTTTTGAGAAACTATAAATTTGACAAAAATTTACTTTTTAAAAAAAAAAAATTTTTTTTTAGAAATATGTTTTCTTTATTTTGACATATTATAAAAATTCTGAACTTTTTTTCAAAGCAATCGTACTGCTTTAACTGCATAGGGACGAAATGTCAAAGCGCGTAAGCACCGCGTCGCCGTCTAACGGATAAACATTGGTACGGAACCCATAGGAATGAAAACAAAATTTATACTTATTGTTAAAATCTCTATAAAATATCTGATAATTTAATGTGCATATGTCTAATGATCATTTTTGACCGCAAAATGGCTTTTTTTTTCTTTTTTTCATTAGATCTCCGAAACCGCTAAACCCGCCTTTATGAAAATTTGACCAATTCTTCATCTTGTCAATACAAGTAAAATGTTTTTTGAATTATTTAGAACTGAGTTACCATTTTTGGCACTTTTTGCCCCGTATCTTCGGAACGGCTTGACCTGCCTCCGCCAAAAACTAATCAGCACGTCTCCTTATCAATACAAATCGAATGTTTTTTGATTTGTTCAAATCGGTTAAACGGTGTTCCCAAAATCGTCGACGAAAATTTGTATCCGCACACACACACACGCACACACACATACATCCATTTTTTCTAATTATAAGGTATGCCAAAAAATTCAGAAACCTTTAAAACGTGAAGATATATATTTTCATTTTCGATTTTTTTGCGATTACTATAACTTGCCCTACGGGAAATTAAAAATTATAATTTCTGAGACGGATCAAAGTTTCCTTAGCTATAAACTATCAATTTTATTATCTTGTGATGAATTTGCTATTGATTAGAGTTCTCTGATAAGATATAGTGCCGATAGCTAACTCTCTAACTACCGTAACGGTCTTGATAAGAAAAGTTCAATAGCTTTTTAACCTATATAATTTGCATTCGAATTTAAAAGCTTGTAATTTACAAGGAGACTTTCCTGCTTATCAAGGCGTGTACGCAAAGCTTTGTAAGTACACAAATGTACTTTTAATTAATCTATTAATAAATTCCATATACTCAGGCAACATGCAATCGCTTGTCACATAAGATTGAATTTAATATATTTTATGTAACATTTAATTCATCTTAGCGGGGCTTAAAGATCCGTTGATAAAAAGGTCTACCGAACCGATGTCTTAACTAGCTGTAAGTGGAATTCTGTCTTAAGGCAATTAAGGCATCGTGCCTTGAGGCAAATTGCTGGAACTTCCCGTACCAAAAATTATTATTTTTTTAAAAACGATTAACATTTTTGAAAAAAAAAATTACTTTGAAAAAATAAGATTTTGAGAAACTATAAATTGGACAAAAAATTACTATTTTTTGAAAAAAAATTTTTTTTTAAAAAATGTGAAGTTAAGAATGTTTTAACAACAATATTTGAAAGTAGAGAGAAAAGTGTATAAACAGCCATCACTTTGATTCTTACGACTTTGCTATCGAGAGATGAACAACAATGTTTAAAATCCATAACAAAAGTATTTTCTTTCGTTCTTATTTGTTTTCGTTGTGAGCGCTGTTGTTTAGTTTACCAGCGCTTGATAAAATTCTTTAGTACACGTTATTTAATTGTTTTATAAGATTTATTGTTAATTTTAAGTTAGATTCAACAGTTTTTTATATAACCGCTATAAGAGCTTACACATGGGTTGAATATTGTAGTTATTATTTCGTAGAATCCCTTTGAAATTTAAAATAAGACGTTGAACCTATTTGTACCCTAGCCATCCCATTTTACCCCGCCTATGGGGTAAGAAGGACCAGGAGACAAATTTTTGAAAAAGAATAAAAGACACTTTTACACAATGATGGAGCTGGAAGTTTTACTGAACAAAGTCAGATAGTTGTTTTTTTGATATGTGTTATAATCGGTTTGGTTTTCACAACGTAATTGCTAAAATTCAAATTGGACCTTTGTGCCCCGGCCTATCCGATAGTATTTTATTGGCATATTGTGCAATTATTATAACATTCATGTGTTTGAATTAAGTAAAAAAACAAAAGAACGAAAACCTAATCCTATCTATTTACTTCGCATTTATTAAAAAAATTCTTACCTAAAAGATTGAAACAAATCCTTATTATTGTAGATTCATATAATGTTATAAGTGTATATAATTAACGTCATAAAAATGATAGATGAAATTTATCCTGTTGATGCAGGGATATATTTAAATGTTCAAATATAAAATCCAATTTCAAATATCAACAACGAAAATACAAAAATTTTATATTATTAAGTACTTTAATTTACTTGATCAGTTACGGTGCAATTCCAAAAAAAATTGATCTATTCAACGAAAACGTAATTAATTTTGATATCTTTACATTTTTATATTCATTCTATTTTTATGTATTTTATTGCTAGTAAAATATATCTAGCATAGTATTAAATACTTCACATAGCGACTTTTCTTTTATGACATTGAGATATTAATAATTATATAAGCATAATCCATTAAAATCTAGTGACAATCTAATACTGCACAATGTACATACATATAATGTTTCATAAAAAACTGTTTCATTTATGGTATAAAGAAATTTTAAGTTTATTAGTAACCAAATATATCCTATATATAAATATCTATACGTATATGAATTAATATGGCCATCAGTAAATGGCGGGCAGTTTGAAATTTATACACCTGGTATAAACAAATTTTAAGTTTATTAATAACCAAATATATCCTTGAAGATGTTTTTTTTTGCGAAAAATGTATCAATTAATTATACAACTCAATTCCTTAATCGAAGCCCAGCCCTATGTTTATGTAACTTGACTGGTCGCAGAATTGCTTTCAATTGTGGTACTTGAAGGTAGAAAGTAACTTATTGCTAATACATATATGTCTAATTGGCGTCAAATATATAATAATGTTGTCTGTCGCGGTTTCTAATATTATTTCAAATAAATATTATTTATTACTAATTTTATTCGTGAAACCCCAATATTTTGCAATTGAACGCATTCAGAAATGTGCATGCGGTTGCGGCATTACTGTGACAAAAGTAGAGAAATTAGTTATACCAGCATAAGAGAATCAGATTTGATGAGGTTCAATTTTAATGAAATATACTCTTGAAGATCGATTTCTTGAAGAAGATCGATTTCTCTTCGAAGAAAGAGCTTTTTTTATCTCATTTAGTAGTTATTGGATAGTAGGCAATTCAGCTGTCAATCGATAAAAAAAACTATTGATCAATTGCATAGTTGTCGTCTGGCGTTAGTTGAAACATAGAAAATGAAATTGGAATTTTTGTCATATTTCTGCTAACTAGAAAAAGCATCTTAAGCTCACAAAAAATTATGCGCTGTTTCTTGTGATGAAACCTGACAAAATTGTTTTGCCGAATATCTTTCTGGTGATTTTTCACTCAAAGATGAAAAACACTCTGGTCGTCAAGTTGAAGTTTATTATAAAGGAATCGTCCTCTTTTACTCTTACAAGGCTGGCTCAAATGTTTTGCCTTATCAAGCATATAGCCCTGATGCACCATGCACCTTCTGATTACTTTTGTTTGAATGGAAAACAATTCAATGATTATGATGGTGTCAAATTGTACCTACCTGATTCAGTTTTTTGCTAATAAAAACCAGAACTTTTATGAAGGTGGAATAATGTTGATGCTTGAAAGATGATAAAAGGTCATTGATGAACATGGACAATGCAGCATTATTTAGTTCCATGAATGTCTTTGATTTTCTAACAAAAATCCGCACTTAGGTAATTTGCAACCTGTCTAGTTGTTATGGTGGTGCTACTTTAAAATGTGGCCATTATACAAAATAGACTATCTGAGCACCTACGACCCAAGTATCCAACGTATCTTCATATATATTCATATGTAAATTAAAAATCAATAAATATAAACTAAATCGGTTTGCGTTATCGCAAACAAGCACAAAGATACTTAATTGACTATTAAACCATGTTTTTTGTCCTGACATTGATATTTGTGGCATTCTGTTATAAGTGGAGCGATTTAATCGAGTGATATTGCCAGTTGCATCCTGCATAACGCAACAGGTTTTGTTGCCGGCAAAAAGTACTTCTTACTTCAATGAACTTAACAACATTTTACGTCGGATGCACTTGAAATGTAAATGATCGTGAACTTTACAGATTTCTTCAAAAATATAACAAAAACATCATTAAATTCAATGAAAAAACAGTACACTGTTGCTGACCACAACAGTTTTTTTAACTTCCCATATGGTAAGTTATATTAATAGCAAAAA